ATAGAATATCAGATTTAGAAGACAGAGTTGGAGCTTGTTTTCTTTCAGGGTTTGAATAGTTTCTCACTTATGAGATGCAGTGAAAGCAGTTGTAAGAGGGAAATTTATAGTGGTGAATTTTCACATCGGAAAGACAGAAAGAGCTCAAATAAACTACATAACTTTGAACCATAAACTTCTATAAAAAGAACAAGTCAAACCCAAAGCTTGTGTGAGGGAGGAAATTAGAAAGATAAGAGCAGAAATTAGTGCAATCAAGACTAAGAAAACAAGGGCTGGGGATTTAGCTCAGCGGCAAAAGCGCTTGCCTGGCAAGCGCAAGGTCGTGAGTTCGGTTCCTGGTACCGGAGAAAAACCAAAAAAAAAAAAAAAAGACTAAGAAAACAATACATAGAATCAATGAATCGAAGAGTTGGTTCTTTGAAAGACTAGTATACCTTTGATATACCTTTAGCCAACCTTATCAAATGGAAGAAAAAGAAGACTCAAATTCATGCAATTAGGAATGAAAGGGGTGAAATCACAGCAAATCCTGTGGAAATCCAGAAAATCATCAATACATCTACTTTAAGAACCTATACTCTAATAAGATAGAAAACACAGAAAAAAATGGACGGACGCCTAGATACATACAACTTGCCAAAACTAAATCAAGAAGATATAAAAATTCAAAATAGCCCAATATCAGTCAATGAAATCGAAAAACTTACCAACAAAGAAAAGTCCAGGTCCTGATGGATTTATTGCTGAGTTTCATAAGAAATTTAGAGAAGATCTAATGCCACTACTGATGAAACCCTTTAATAATACTGAAAGAGAAGCAATGTTCTCAAAGTCACTCCTAGAAAAAAGTAGTACCTGATACCAAACCCTGAGCAGGACTCCACCAAAAAAGAGAACTACAGGCCAGTATCACTAATGAACATAAACACAAAAATCCTCAATAAGATACTAGCGAACAGAATGAAGCAAATCACAAAGGTTATTCATGATGACCAACAAGATACACCCCAGGAAGGCAGGAATAGTTCAACATATACAAATCAATAAATGTAACATACCATATCAACAGAGCCAAAGACAAAAACCCCATCATCATCTCAATAGACACAGAAAAAGCATTTGACAAAGTGAAACACCCATTCATGATAAAGACCCTACAAAAAATTGAAATAGATAGTCTTTACCTCAACCTGATGAAAGACATCCATGACAAACTGACAGCCCACATCATACTAAATGCACAAAAACTGAAATCTTTCTCTTTAAAATCAGGAACAAGACAAGGTTGTACACTGTCACCACTCCTATTTAATATAGTTCTGGAAACATTAGCCAGAACAATTAAATAAGAAAAAGAAATAAAAGGAATAAGAATAGGAAAGAAAGAAGTTAAATTATCATTACTCACAGAAGACATGATATTCTACATAGAAGACCCCAAAGCTGCCTCCAAAAAGACTTGTAGATTTAAAAACCAAAGTCAGTAATATAGCTAGAAACAAAGTCAACACTCAAAAATCAATAGCATTCCTGTATATAAATTCCTGCACTGAGAGAAAACTTAGGGAAACACCTTCAAAATGCATCAATAAAATGAAACATGTAAGAATTAATCTAATGAATGAAGTAAAAGATTTATACATTGAAAATTACAGTACTTGAAAAAAAGATATTGAAGAGGATAGCAAAAAATGGAAAGATATCCCTTGCTCATGATTGGGAAGAACAAATATTGTAAAAATAGCCATACTCCAAAACTTGCTATACAGATTTAAAGAAATCCCAATCAAAGTACCATTAGCATACCTCAGAGAACTAAAAAAAATTCCTAAAGTTCATTTAGAAATAGAAGATTTAAAATAGAAAAATCAATGCTAGGCAACAAAGGCAAAGCAGGGGATATCACAATCCCTGACTTGAAATCATACTACAAAGCCAGTGTGATTAAAAATAGCATGGCACCAGCAAAAAAAAAAACAGATCTGAGGATGAATGGAACAGATTAGAAGATCCAGAAACAACTCTAAACACACTCAGCCACCTTATCTTTGACAAAGGGAACAGCATGTTCACCGGAAGAAAGCCTCTTTAATAAATGGTGTTGGGAAAATGGGCTTTCTAAATGCCCCAGACTAAAACTAGATCCATGTCTTTCACCACGGACTAAAGTGAAGTAAATGGGTCTAAATACTAAATATTAAAACAGAAACACTAAATCTACTGGAAAAGAGAATACGTAAAACACTTGAAGACATAGGTGTAGGCAAAGATTCATTGAGCAGAACCCCAATCCCACAGGAAATGCTACAAAAAAATCAACAACTGGGATCTCATACTATTAAAAAGCTTTTCACACTGTTACGGTTTATGTGTGGATGTCCCCCTCAAAGCCTCATGCACTCATGGGGCAGGCTTCTAGAGGTCATGACTGATTCATGGTCCAATGCTGGGATTATGGGTTTGAGTGCTACACTCACCCTGGGGTAGGTAGTTTGCATACAGTATAAGGGAGGGAAAGAGGTTGCTTGCTGCAGCTGCAGTTCCTGCCTTTTTGCTCTTGCTGGTTTTGCTGGTTTCTACCACCATGAACTGTTGCCCTCAGGCATGTGCCACCATGTCTTGGAGTTAGCCAAGCAAGGACTGAAACCTCCACAAATTATGAGCTAAATAAACCTTTACTTCCTTTATTCTAGATGCTAGGTGTTTCGTCTTAGCAATGAGAAAAAGTCACTAAGACAATAACAAAAGAAATTACTGGGAAAAAAATTTTAGCCAATTGTCCCTCAGTCAAAGGACTAACATCTAGAACATGTAAAGAACTGAAAATAATTAGACTCCCCAAATTTAAAGACCCAAATCAAAAATGGGCATCTGAGATGAATACACACTTCTCAGAGGAAGAAACACAAATGGCAAATATATGAAAAAGTGTTCAACATCATTTGCCATTTGAGAAATGAAATTAAAACAACACTGAAATTCTACCTCACTCCAGAAAGAATGACAATTATTGAGAAGTCAACTAATAATAAATGCTAGAGGAGCTGTGAGAAAAGGAACCCTTCTCCACTGTTGGTGGGAGTGTAGACTGGTGCAATCACTGTGGAAATCAGTGTGGAGATTCCCAAAAAACTAGAATTAGAGGTCCTGTCTGACTCAGCCATTCCCCCTTTGAGTATGTTCCCAGAAGAATGAAAAATATCATATTATAGCAATATATGCTATGGTATATACAGCACAGTTTGTAGTAACTGAATCTTGGAAACAACCCAAATGCCCATCAACCAAGGAATGGATAAAAAAGATATGGTTTTTTTAATATAGTAGAGTACTACTCAGCCATAAAAAAGGATAAAATTGAAACATTCCTAGGTAAATGGATGCACCTTGAAACCATAAGTAAAATAAATCAGATACATATGTATAAACATTTCACTGTTTCTTTGGTGTGAGAATCCAAGAGGGTAAATAAGGACCAAAGTGTATTACAGGTATAGTGAACTAGGAAGAAACAGTTCAAAAGAAAGGGGAACTAGGGACCGGTGAGGGGGAAAGGATAGAAGTGAAAAAATGATAAAAGAAGGATAAAATGTAAATAAAGTGTTGTAAATGAGGAGGGGAAGAGGGGTTGAAGGGATGGGAAGGGGATGGGAAAATAAAGGGGAAACAGGATATATCATGTACAGGTACAAATTCCCTATGATGGAGGCAATCATTATATATATATATAAATTGTACCAATTGAAAAGAGTGGCAACTAGGTAGAGTCACTGAAAATTAAAACCTTAGGACTCTAATAATTATGCAAATGCATAATTTAATTTTGGAGATGTTTTCAGAGTTACATATAAACAAAGTTTTTTCAGGACTTCAAATTAATGAGAAATAAATTTAGTGCACTTTAAGTAATTAATAACACAAAAGTTAACCTACTACAAATTTCTAAACCTTGTGGGAAATAGTCTCTGTATTCTAAATCTTATCCTTAATTGCAAGGACAAGGATACATCTCAAAGGCAACAGTGGTGATTTTTAATGACAGATTTAAAAGGGTTGATTTACTCTCCAGATGTTTTCTGTAATTCCACCCCATCACCAAGAAAGTTAATGGATGTGACACACCTGAAAAGCTGATTCCTCAAGATGCTTCATTCCAGTGATGGCAAACGTTTTGGAGACTAAGTCCCTAAACTGCAACCTAAAACCCACTTATTTATTGAAAAGTTCCAACACTGCAATTAAACCTGAATACTGAAGTTTTAGTTTAGAAAAAAAAAAAAAGAATCACATATTAACATCTTTCTCCTTCAAAGAAAAATACAATAATATGTATGCCATACGTTCACCACCACTGCTACCCACTTAAAGCTTGTTTTTCAGAACATGCCCAGAATGAAACATAGACACCTGGAGAGAATTACACCTTCACAAATTACCTCAAATGGACACTGTGCCCTTCAAACCCTAACAGTCCCTAAGCCACCAGAGAGCCACAGAGTGTTTATTTGCTTCTCCCAGCTTCTGCAGAACCACAAGGATTCAGAACCACACGAGCATCTAGTAACCACAAGGATTACTTTTAAGGATCGTAAGGATATCCTTTTATAAAGTATTATCCAGAAGCCCCCACTGAAAATGAGTAATAATGTTTATATTCCTAGGAAAGGGATATATTCAAAGATCTATAATAAAGATGAGTATTAAATATATTCCAAGCCATGAAATTCCAGTCTAAAAGAGATATATTTGATGTTTTTATTTCTGAATACTAAAACAAAATGATTATAATAGTTTAAATCCAACTAAAAAGGTACACCTTATTTTGTTGTTGACATAAGCTATGAGCCTTTGAACAGGGAAGGAAGAGGGAGAAGTCCTGAATGCATTTTATTTAACAATTATCTGACAATTACCCCCTCATTATCGACTGATGAAGGATTCAGATTGAAATTCCTAACATTTCTGATGCTACAGTCATATTACTTCAAAAATCCTACCTGGGAAAAGATTGAAAAGGCTGACTGGAGATTTGTTGGTATCAATGGTTAATTTGTGGCTTGCAGTTTTTGAAGGCTGACCAGGGAGGCAGATTAACTTCAGGGGGAGTCTAAATTTACATTGGATAACTCGAGGAATGCCTGAAATAAAAAAGAGAAATGCAGATCTGTAGATTCAACAAATAATTTGGAAAAAAGAGTAATTGGAAGCTTGAGTGGCAACATATCTTAGTTTGTAAATTTTTTGTCTGCCTATTTTGTTTAGCATAACTGAAATAACTGTACAGTGCTACTGTATGTCATATGTTTTTACTGTTTTCAAGAAGTGCAAGGCAAAAATAAAATCTTAAGTGAAGAATAAGCATATGATCTGTCTTTAATAGTAGCATCATTTTTTTTAAATCGTCACATTTGTATACCATAAAAATCATTATAGTTACTTATACTCAATTACTGCACTAAGTCTTTCAACTATGATTTTTAAAACTTTAGGCCTAATCCATGACTATCAGCTAAAATGAATAAAGATTATGAAGTTTATTGAGAGATTCTCTATAACCATATCTAAAGTTTTCTCTACTCAAAAAATTTTAAATCTTTAGTTCTTTCTACTTATTAAAGATTCACATTATATAAACAATTTTCAATAAATTATGAGCATGAAAGCATGATTCACTCTACTGAAGTTCCACTGAAGTCCATGTGCATTTTATACAATACTATGAAGGGTATTACTTTCACAAGAATTAAATTTTTGTCAAGCCATATAACTTTACATATCACTGTAAGTAACATTTTGAAAACAGTCATACAATTGACAAATGTTTTCACTAATATAGGTAATTGAATAAAATAATGTTTCCTATCAGAATTCTACAAAATTTTAAAATCTTTTTTCCAGTACTTTTACAAACAACATAACAGAAACCAAAGTAAATTCTCTACTTAAAGATCTACAAAAGCAACAGTTTAATCTTAGTTTTCATTTCTTTGATTGTAGGACTCTGCTTTTGATTGGATAAGAAGATGAAAGATGTAATGTAGAAGTTTGTATCTTAGTGTAAAACACATGACTGTAGAGAATTTAAAGCTTTAAATGACCTACTTTACTTGATGGATTCAAACATTAACTCTTTATTTCATTACAGTGGAGTCTATGAGAAGTTTAAAAATAGGAAAAGCAGAAGTAGCCAAGAAATAGAGAGAAACCTAGGCAGTGTCCCTGGTGTTAATGTTAATGACAGTGGGAGCTCTGGGCTGACTCCACTTCCAAGCTGGAGCACACTTTCCTGCAACACCTATCCACAGCATGATGAGCAATCACCAACAAAGGACATGTGAGTCAATTAAACATGTTCTCAGAGCTTGTGAAGCATATCTGTCATTCTCTTCAATATCAGCAATTATCCATCAAATTTCACTTAGTTCACCTTTTGCTTATAACCAACATATGTTAAATTCACTTCTCCTGAAATACTTGATGCAAATTGTAACTCGTGTCTCTCAAGGTATTTCCAGAGTATTATTTCCTGACATTCTATGAGATTTTCAGAGCCGTGTATATGTACTTTACAATGATAAAATGTTTTGACTCAAAATATTAATGTAAGATGATGTTAGGATAGCATCCAAACCGCAACTATCAATACCACTACAAATAAAGTGACAAAACACTATTTTTCCCAACATTAAATAAATTTCCATATAGTTTAACATACCCCAATTATGGAAATGGACCTAAAGAATATGCTTCTGCTATGATAAATTACAGCCTGAACTAATAGTTTCAGTCTGGAAAGTACAAGGAAATGGAAAGCTGTTTCCATCTCTTCTGTTTTTAATGAACAGTACAACAATGAAAATGCTGCAACTGACAATTCTACCTATATACAAAGGGAAGCAAGATTCTAGATACTTTTTTAATACCAAATTCTGATCCAATTGTTCAAACAAAAATTTTGCTACAAGTGTTCTTCTAAATCTGTACAATGGCTGTGTGTTACTTGGAGCAGGTACTGAACTGAATTCATGGTTTAAAGTAATTCCAAATGATCAAGAGCACTGGCTTTACACCATTAAGTCTATAGAACTGAGGATTACTACCCACATTTCTAAGAACCCAAGCTAAAATTTTCAAACATGGAAGCAAATTGATGGCAAGCACTAATAAAAACCCAAAAAGGAAGTATACATTATAGCTCCATCCACAGCTCAGTTAAATCGGCTAATGACAATCACACACTAGGCAGTGGAGTCTGCAATTGCTAAGATTTTGTAGACCGTCTCCAGAATTTTTCTCTCCAGGAATTTTAAATCTGTTTCACAGGATATTTGGAAAACATTACTTTGAAAAATGATGACATTCATACTTAGTAAAAATGATGGCAGTTTGAAAAGTTTTACCATTCAGGAAAACAAGAAAATAAAATCCGTTAGAAACTAGATTAAAGAAATCATAAGAGAAAAATTAGAATGCCACTATTTTGTAGCACTTCTTATAAAATTAAAATCCAAGCATTCAGAATACAGTCTGAGGTATGAGGACAAGGGTTTACCACTAGAGAGACATTTCTAGTGGGACTTACACTTTCTTAAAAAACTGAAGTTTATATTCAACTTCTAATTCCTCATCAGGTTGTAACTGTATCAAGGACCCTGAAACTAAAGACTTGTAGAGGCAAATGTGGGTGTTTGCGTGTGTAGATCTGTAATAAATAAGGAAAGAAGTATGTGTATTTCAGGAGTTTTCAAAGCTACTCAGAGAACAGACCTAATGAAGAGTCTAAACAGACCTAATGCTGCCCACCATCAGTGACATTTCCTCTATTTAATTGATAAAACAGACTCTGTATCTAGCTTATTCAACTCTTTGAATGGTAAGCTGAGGAAAATGAAAATTCTTTAATTTATTTAAATATGGTCTAGTCATTCACCACTCTCATATTTTCTGTAACGTTTGTCTTTCTTTTTTTTAAAACCATATAATCACCTGCACTTCAAATACTCCCTTTCCCTTAAGCTACTAGAGGAACTGGATAGTTGCAAGTACTATAGTGTAAATAGCTACAAAATTATTTCATACTCAGAGACAAAATCCCCATAAAAAAAAAATCCTGTCTTCTGGAAGCGGATTCTGATTATACCTGGCACACTTACAAGCACATGATCACTGTCAAATGGGTATCAAAAAGTGCTTTGAAATGAAAAAGAGCATATATGTTACAGCAAGATAACTCTATCTGTATATCTCACATCTATATAGGGCCTCAGAACTGTTTCCAGGACTGCTAGAGTCATTTCTTACTACAAACAAGGAGCACCAGAGCAGTAGCAAAGTCTAGTAGCCAGAACTTCCTGACCCCTTCCTGTTATGTCTGGCTGTATCCTGGGCTTCATCCACAGTCGTGTTTCACACTGTCAGTGTCCTGTCACTTTCATGCAGGAATAATGGAGACAAACTCTTATGGGACAACATAAACCTCATTTGCTTCTCTTTTCACATGTAGGAGCAGGACTAGTTATCTGCACCACAGCCTGAATCAATCAGAACAATAAAACAAATCGTTCACTGAAATATGAAGCTTTGTGTGCAAGACCTCAGCAGCACCATATTGCTTTCTTGCCTACTGAGTATAGGTATACATTTCAACTCTGCTCCCCAAAGTTTATTAGGAATTTTAAAATGTATCAGAAGAAATTATTAAAAATGACTTTGACTTTTTATTAAAACATTAATATTTTCATAAATTATGATTATTTTTCCTCATGGTTGGGGCTAGATTTATAGAAAGGCAGTAAATTTCTTTTAACAATAACCTTATTGGATTTTTAAAATTTAAAACTACTCATCTTAATGATAACATTATGATATTTTACAAAATGCTACTCGAAATGTTTCAGTTGCATGCAATCTTAAGAAAGAAAATGTAAATCTTCATCATTAATAATAACAGGTTATTTTGGATGACCTATGTTCTAATTTGGTGATATGATTTGTACCTAGACGCCTCAATTCCACAACACCTCACATATACATTTGTGGAACTTTTGGGAGATGGCTGCATCACAGGTGTGGAACACTGGGATTCAGGTGTGTGGTACTGGAACAGTCCACTAACTGAATTAACATAGTTCTGGGTGTGGCCGAATGAATTTACTGAAGACTGAAGCCTCATCCTGGGTGTGGGTTGCACCAACCAACAGGCTGGTAGCCGAGATGGAATGTATAGTAAGGGAAGAAAAAGCCTGATGCTGCTGCCTCCTGTCTACCCTGTGATGGATTATATCTCCTCTGCAATGCCCCTCTGCTATGCGGCCCAGCCTTGAAACTAGCCAACTATGGACTGAAGCCTCTACAAACTGTGAACTAAAATAAAGCTTTCTCCCTTTAACTTGTGGATGTTGGGCATTTTGTCCTAGCAACAAGGAAGTAACTGAGACAGTAAGCTTTGTATTGCTAAGCTAAATATTAACCTCTACTGAGACATTTCTCACACAAATGCATATTCACCTTCAGATTTCAAGATGATAACTGCTATGTGACTTGAGGTGTTGGTGTCCCCAAAATTGTATGAGTAAATATTGCTGTACTTTTAAACATAGTAACTACAATTGTTATTAATCAATTAAATTATATCTAAATTTTTAACAAAGACAAACCATCATATGAAGTCTACTTATCTAGGATGAAATAATCAAAAGAAGGCATAATTTTTGTGCCTGCTTTATACCCTGATACTGTGTAATTCAAAGATGTACACTTGATCCCTATCCACAAAAAACTCAAAACCTATTAGGAAAAATGAAGTAACAGAACTTATTGAAATTCACATGGTATCTTATAGGAGAGTCATAAACGAAGGATTTGTGAGGGAGGGACGAGAACAACACTAACCCAGGCAAGTTCAGGGGGACAGAAATTCATTTGTTTGCTCTTTTTTTTGGTTTCTGAGAGGAGGTCTCCTTACACTGCCCAGGCTGGCTGCAAACTCACCATCCTCCAACCTCAGCCTCCCACACAGCTAGCATTACAGGCATGTGCCACCACAACCTGCAAAGCATCCAGACTTTTCATCATAGTCCCTGACAAACTCTAAACAAGACAAGAAACAGTCTTACAAAATGGTTACACAGACCACTCTTATCAGAGAGAAAGTTAAGTCCTCTTGGACAGTAGGAAAACAACTTGAGTTTAATTACAAACATATTTTTTCTTATTATTTTCAGTAAAATAAAATAACAGACCACACAGGTAATAACCAAAGACTTTCAGAAATAAGTTGTCAACAATACCTTTGATGTTTTCCAAAAGAGTCATTGTGTTCTTACTCCTACCTTTATTTCTCAGGACCCTGAAACAACTAAATACGATAATTCTCTGTGGAAACATCTACCAGGCTTTCCACCAGAAGATCAAGGCATTCAATCACCCTAAAGAAGCTTGTATAATTAAAATAAAAGAGTAGTTTATAGGAACATTTCATTCATTATATAGTATTATTCAATTCATCAACAAAATTTCAGTTTGAAAGACCATTTTTTTCTTTTCACTTACCATCAGGATTTCGATCTGTTCATCAGAGGCAATGCAAAAAGGGTGGGAAAGAAAAAAATGCAACAAGTTATCCATGATAAAGTTACAAAACAAATTTAACATGTCTGCTTAAAATGCAAATTAACACTTTTGAAAGACTGAAATGGTGTAAATGCCCTTCAGTAAACAAGGTGAAGTCCTCCCAACTGGAGAGACCAAAGTGAATAAGCAAAATCTAGCACTGGATTTGCACTTCCACTCCCAGGAGCATATAAGTATTTGTTTAGTGTAAATGTGGCAACAGAGGTAAAGATGTATGATCCAGCCAGACACCAAAATACGCAGTTTGTAAATGGCATTAAGTATTAAACGAAAGTAAACCCGAAACAAAAAGACCAAATATATTTCTACTTACTCTTTCTTAAAATAATTTCAGTACAACTACTATAAAGTAATGTTTGTTTGGGTTTTTGTAGTTTGTCTTTGTACTGCTTTACTTTTACATACTTTTTCATGTTTATAACCCACTTTCAACCAATTAATATCTATGCTCTCAGGTTCACCAATAATTTATAATCTAAAAGATTATATGTCCTATGTAACCATAAGCTCAAAAACTAATTTTACAATTCTCATATATTTTAAGCATTTTACCTACTTACAATTACTGATTTCTCTATTTTAAATTTATTTTTGAGCTAGTGTCCCTACCTTCTCTTGAAAATAAATGACAGAATTACTTAAAATGTCAGCAGTCTCTACAACTGTATATATAATACTGTACCAAGTGTAATAATTCCTGACTATTGAAACGTTCAATTAATGATAAAAGTTCTACACATTTAGACAAATATTTCTACCCCTTTGTTTCACAACTCAAAACAAAAATAAGATTGCAAACTTCAAAGTTGATTGCAGAAATATCCAACCAAGAGCTCCATCAGACCTGCACAGGAGCCAAACTGAGACCAGAAAGCTTCAGGAGCCTCAGGGAACTGCCCCCCACCCTCACACACCACTGCAGGAGTACTGCTGAGCCTCAGACAGCTACAGAGGACTCCACGATCACAACCTGCCACCCCACTGGCACAGGAGCCATGCAGAGCCCCAGACAGCTTCAGGAGCATTGGTGAGCTGCCTCACACAACCTCCATTCTGTCATGGGAGCAACGCTGAGTACTAGGTACCTTCAGGAACCTTAGAGACTGTACCCTGGCCCCCCTACATCTTCACAGAAGCCAAGTTGAGCCATAGTGACCTTTGGGAGCCTAGCCCTGCCCCACATACACCCTCATCAGAGCTATGCTGAGCCCCAGGGATCCTCAAAATCTTTGAAAAATGACAAAACAAAGAAGCAAAATGCAATTTCAGACCTCCATTCCACCCAGAACAACTCCAGGAGACACCAATATAGAAAAGCTTGAAAGTCACACACCACAGATTTCTGAAATGACAGCAACTGAAGTACAGGAACAACTCAATCAGGCTACAAAAAAAATTAGATCAAAAATAATCTCTCAGGTAAAAAAAAAAATGACAATAATAATGAAAAAATCGCTCAGCATATCTAAAGAAGACACAGATTAAAAAATATAGAGGAGCATAGAAAAATGATGAAAATCTTGAATGAATAATATGAGAAAGAATTAGAATGCATGAAACAGATTCAAACAGATATCAAGGAAATTAAAAAGTCCATCCAACGCTGGCAAAACTGCTTGAAAGAAGCTAAAGATACACTTTCAGACCTTAAAGACAGCATTGCAGCAAAAGATTGCAAAAGGAAAGATCTCTTAAAAAGGAACCAGGAAATAACAAATCAACAGCTGCAACATGATTCAAACAAAAACAATGTAAGATAAAAAGGTGTCAACAAAACAGCAGGAGTCAACATGAATTACATAAAAAGACTTTCTACAGAAGTAGTAGCAAAAAATGTCCCACGCATGGAAAAAGAATCTGACATATGGTTCAGTGAGGCATACAGAACTCCAATTAGCCATAACAAAAATATATCTACACCCAGACATATAATAATCAAGATCCCAGAAATGCAGCAAAAGAACAGAATATTAAAAGCTGTTAAGAGAAAAGAAACAGATCATCTATAAAGAAAAGCCCATTAGAATCAGGGCAGATTTCTCAACACACAAACCATCAATTCAAGAAGAGCTTAGAGCGAAGTATTTCAGTCTAGAAAAGAAAACAACCCACACTGATGTACCCTGCAAAATTAATGGAGAAATAAAATATACCCATGACAAACAACAACTGAAGAAATTCATGACTGCCAAACCATGATATTCTAGAAAGAGATAAAAATGACCACAATTCCAAGAACAACAACAGAAAGGAACCACTAAGGAGAAAAGCAATTAAATAGAGTAAAACAGCAGGGAACCAACACCAAGAAAATAACATGACAAAGATAAGCCAATACATATAAGTTATAACCATTAATGAAAACAGCCTCAATTCACCAATCAAAAGAAGCAGACTGGCAGTGTGGATCAAGAAACAAAATCCAACAATATGCTGTACAAAAGAAACACATCTAACTCGAAAGGAAAATCATAGACTAAAAGTCAAAGGATGGAAAACAATACTCCATGCAACAGGAACCCACCAAAAACAGGGGTAGCTATTCTGTTTGCAGACAATATGAACTTCAAACCAAGAATGACCCAAAGAGATAAAGAAGGTCACTACATACTTGTTAGGGGGAAACCACAAAAGGAAGAGATAACAATCATCAATATCTATTCATGAAATAGTGAAACACCCAACCATATGAGATAAATTTTAACAGATATGAAAAATTAAATGAGTAGTAACATAATCCTAACAGGGGACTTTAATATCCCATAGTCACAAAAAGATAGATAAACTAGACAAAAAATCAGGAAGAAAATAACATTACTAAACCAAGCTTGTGAACAAATGGACTTAGTAGACTTTTACAAAGTGTTCCACCCAACATCAAGCTACACATTCTTCTCAGCTGCACACAGGATGTTCTCTAAAATAGACCATATAATAGCCCATACAACAGGCTTAAGTAAATACAAAGGAACTGAAATTATCCCATGCATACTATCAGACCATAGGGCAATGAAATTGGAAATTACTGACAAAAGAAAGCCCAAACTTCATACATACATGGAAATTAAATAACACCCTTCTAAACCACCAATGGCTCACATATAAAATTAAAGAAGAAATTAAACAATACTTATAATCAAATGAAAATGCAGATGTAACTTACCAGAATCTGTGGGACACAATAAAAGCAGTACTCAGAGAAACTTTATAGCGGTAAATTCCCACATCAGGAAAACAGAATGAACACAAATAAACAACCCTATATTGCACCTCAAGCTTCTAGAAAAAGAAGAGCAAGTCAAGCCCAAAGCCCAAAGAAGGCAGGAAATTATACAGATCAGAGCAGAAATTAATGTAATGCAAACTAAGAAAACAATACAAAGAATTAATGAATCAAAGAGTTGGTTCTTTAAAGAATAAATAAAATTGATAAATCCATAACAAACCTTATCAGAAAAAGGGAAGTAAAAACTCAAATTCATACAGGAAGGAATGAAAAGATTGAAATCACAAAAGATCCTGTAGAAATTCAGACCATAAATAATAACTTCAAAAATTTTTACTCTCATAGGATGGAAAACACAGAGGAAATGGACAGATTCCTAGATACATATCCATTACCAAAGCTGAATCAAGAAGATATAAAAATCCTGAATAACTTCATATCAGCCTCTGAAATTGAAAATGTAATAAAAAACATACCAACAAAGAAAAGCCCAGGTCCTGATGTATTCACCGCTGTATCCTACAAGAAATTTAGAGACAATTCAATGCCAATTCTTCTCAATCTCTTTAATGAAATTGAAAGGGAAGGAATTCTCCCTAACTCATTCCTGGGTCAAGTATTACCCTTATAACTAAAACCAGACAAAGGAACAACCAAAAGCAAAAATTACAGGCTAATCTCACTAATGAACATAGATGCAAATATTCTCAAATAAAATACTATCAAACAGAATGTAGCAAATAATCAAGGCAATTATACATCATGACCAAGTAGGATTCACTCCAGGAAGGCAAGGATGGTTCAATATATACAAATCAATTAATATAATACACCATATCAATAGAGCCAAAGACAAAAATCCCATTATCACCTCGATACATGCAGAAAAAGCTTTTAATAAAGTCCAAACTCATTTATGATAAAAACTCTAGAGAAATAGGAACAGATGGTCTTTACCTCACTCTGATATAAGCCATCTATGACAAACCAACAGCCAATACAATACTAAATGAAAGTGAAAGCTTTCATTTAAAGTGAAAACTTTCACTTTGAAATCAGAAAGAAGACAAGGATGTCCACTGTCATGACTCCTATTCAACATAGTTCTGGAAACATTAGCCAGAGCAATTAGGCAAGAGAGAGAAATAAAAGGAGTAAGGAAAGGAAAGTAAGAAATTAAATTATACTTATTCACAGATGACATGATACTCTACATAGAAGACCCCCAAAACTCTATCAAAAGGTTTATATATTTAATAACCATATTCAGTAGCATAGCTGGATATAAAGTCAATACTCAAAAATCAATAGCATTCCTGTACACAAACAATAAACACACTGACAGAGAAATGAGGGAAACTACACCTTTCACAATAGCATACAAAAACATGAAATATTTAGGAATCAATCTAACAAAGGAAGTAAAGGATCTATACAGTGAAAATTACAATACTCTATAAAAAAGAGCTCAAAGAGAATTTTTAAAAAATGGAAAGATATTCCTTGCTTATGGGTAGGAAGAATTAATATTGTAAAAATAGCCATACTTCCAAAATTGTTCTGCAGATTCAATGCAATCCCAATTAAAATACCATTAGTAGGGGCTGGGGATTTAGCTCAGAGGCAAAAGCGCCTGCCTGGCAAGCGCAAGGTCGTGAGTTTGGTTCCTGGTACCAGAGAAAAACCAAAAAAAAAAATACCATTAGTATACCTCACAGATCTAGAGAAAACATTCCTAAAATTCATCTGGAACCAGACTACAATATAAAAAACAATACTCAGCAACAAAGGAAAGGCAGAAAGCATCACAACCCCCAACTTGAAATTATACTACAAAGCTACTGTGATAAAAAACAGCATGGTACTGGCAAAAAAAACAGACATGTGGATCAGTGGAACAGAACAGAAGATGCAGACACAACTAAAAACACACTCAGCCACCTTATCTTTGACAAAGGGGTCAAACATATTCACTGGAAGAAAGATAGCCTCTTTAATAAATGGTGCTGAAAAAACAGGCTTTCTACATACCTAAGACTAAAACTAGACCCATGTCTATCACCACGCACTAAACTAAAGTCAAAATGGATCAAAGATCTAAATATTAAAACAGAAACACTAAATCTACTGGAAGAGAGAGTGTACATAGAAATGTTGAAGACATAGGGGTACGCAGAGAGTTCATGAATAAAAACCAAACTGCACGGGACATACTTCAAAGAATCAACAACTGAGATCTCATCTTATTGAAAAGTTTTTGCACATCAAAAGAAATCACCAACAGGGTAAAAAGAAAATCCATGGATTAGGAAAAAATTTTAGCCAACTGTCTCTGTCAGACAAAAGACTTCTAACTAGAATATATAAAGAACTGAAAAAAAATCAAGCCCCCAAATTGAAAGAACCAATCCAAAAATGGGTATCTGAGATGAATACACACTTCTCAGAGGAAGAAATACAAATAGGAAATAAATATATGAAAAACCATTCAACATCATTGGTCACTGGAGAAATGCAAATTAAAACAACACTGAGATTCCATTTCACCCCAGAAAGAATAGCTATCACCAAGAAATCAACCAATAACAAGTGCTGGAGGGGCTGTGAGGAAAAAGGAACCTTTCTAGACTGCTCGTGGGAGTGTAGACTGATGAAACCACTGTGGAAATCAGCGTGGAGATTCCTCACAAAACTAGGATTAGAGGTTCCACTTAATGCAGTTATTCCCCTTCTGGGTGTTTTTCCAGAAAAACTGAAAATATCATTCCACAGTAATACATGTGCAACCATGTTTATAGCAGTGCAATTTGTCATAGCTAAATCTTGGAAACAACCTAAATGCCCATCAACAGAAGAATGGATAAAAGAGATATGGTAATTTTATACAAGGTAGTATTACTCAGCTATAAAAAAAGATAAACTTGAGTCTTTTATAGGTAAATGGATGCAACTAGAGACCATACTCATAAGTGAAATAAATCAGACTCGCATGTGTAAACATATTTCTCCCTAGTGTAAGAACCTGAAACAGTAAATAACACTCAAAAGGTACACCAGATATTGTGAAAGGGAAAGAAATGTTCAAAAAGGAACAACTGGGATGAGGAAAAAGAAGGAAAGAGAAAAAGAGAGAAAGAGAAAGTGAGAAAGAGAAAGTGAGAGAGAGAAAGTAAAGAAAGAAAGAAAGAAAAAGTCAGAAAGAAAGAAAAATATATATATGTACAAGGATAGCTGGGATAATAGTACTGCTGATGTCTATTGGTTTATTGAAATTGAAAGGAACATTACTGGTTTATTGAAAGGAACCACTGTTGAATTCCTACCATCTTGTTTAGTAAAGCTTTTTAATATTTCTAAGTTTTTTATTACTTTTTATTCAATTTAACTGTTTGATCAATCTTGCATTCTTACATCTCATAATCTGAGTAACTTTGTTGAAGACAATAATATGTAATATAACAATCACTGTAAATTCCTATCATCTTGTTTTGAAATCCTGTATCGTTTTTATTGTTTTGGTCTCTGTTGTTATTTTGTGGGTTTTTTTCTCTTTAACATTTAAAAAAAGAGCTCCATCATTCCTTAATTCTTTTTGTATTTTAAAGAGAATAAAAAATAATTTAAAAAACATTAGAAATGATACAGAATTTCAAAAAAACAAGATGACAGGAATTCAACAATGGTTGTTATATTGCATATTGTTGTCTTCAAAGGAATTCTTCAGATTACCAGATACAAGCATATAAACTTGGTCAAAAAAAATTAAGCTTTAACTGTTCCTATCAATAGACCAATAGAAATTAGTAGCGCAATTATCTTATTTTTACGAATTTTTATTTCTTAATAAATCCAGTTTTATGAACATTATTTAACATGAAAACATTTCTTTAACTCAAGATTTTAAGATATGGTAAATGGCTAAGTGTCATTTCTAGCAAAAAACAAATTTTTAATGCAATTCAAAGCAAAATAACTTACAAACCAAGAAAGAACTTTCTAAACACATACCTAAATTATACAATATCAGAACACATAAAATTGTCAGGGAATAACAGAATTCATTTAGACTAAGAAAAGAATCGCAATTATGAAAAGCACTGCCAAATATGCAAATAGGCATAAGTGGAAGATGAATAAGTCATTTTTAAACCTTTTTTGAACTAAGAAAACAGCACAGAAATGCTTCAAAAACACAAATACAATATTTTTAATACTTTATCACTTATCTTATGTTTAAAAGGTTTTTTTTAAAGAGGTAATGACAATTAATTCTTATTTTCTTTTTTTTTTTTTTTTTGGGGGGGGGGAGGTTTTCTCTGGTACCAGAAACCAAACTCATGACCTTGCACTTGCCAGGTAGGTGCTTTGCTGCTCAGCTAAATCCCTAACCTCTAATTCTTATTTTCTACAAATCAACTGATGTGAAACTATTTGGAAGATTTCATAGGAAAGAAAAAGTAAAACTATCAAATTCGACTCAACTAAGTTGAAATTTTCAATAGATGAATCTCCTCCTTTTTAAAACTAAAGAGTTTATGCTAAAAATACAAACCAAATTTTAATGATCTGCTCATAAATATTTTAACACGTAAGATACTACAGAGTTTTATTCAGTCATTAGAAGTGTCTAAAACCCTAAAGACTTGAATACTGCTTTAATATTAATCTATATTATTCATTTTTGTGGTTACTAATTAAGATTAGCTTTTTCTTTAGTTTGAATAAATGAAGTTTGAGCTGGGTAACATTTATCTAGTCGAAGTAAAAATATCAGATTTGTTATTAACTAAAAAAGAGAAAACCAAATATTAAACATGGAAATCAGCTAAACAGATACATCATTAAGTACTAGTAACACATAAAAGCAATCAGAAGACACAACCTTTTAACTGCAGGAAGGAATCTTTCAATTTAATTACATTTCATACTATGTTTTCCCACCTTAAACACAGCATCATTTAACTCATAACTCTGATAATTTAAAGGAATGAATAGGCTTGTAGATTTGTTAACAATTGTGTGTTTACCTGTGGGTTTGGCATAAGAAACAACAGCATTGCCTTCCAATTCGGATGGGGTATAACCTCTCTTCAGATAAACTGAAAAGGCCACTGTGCTAGTCACCTCCGGTGCTATAAGCAAAGAACAGGCAATATAAATTACATAACTAGAGTAAGTGTTACTAACAGCAGTTAATAAAGCACGCACTATGTGCCAGGTACTGTCATGAGCACTTTAAGTGGAATAACACATACACTCTTCACAGCAACCCTGTAGGGTTAGAGTCACTGCCCACTTCTCATGCATGAGAAAACTAGATGAGGAAGACTGCCCAGGTTAAGCAGCTGACATCAGAGCTAGGAAATGACTCTGGAACAAGACACCCAGCACTCTATGCCACTGCTCCTCTTAACTGAGATGTGCAGGTAGAGCAAACATCACACAGCAGGCAGGAGAATTTATGGGCAGCACAGCACCTTGTCATGGCCAGAGCACACAGCACAGCCAAGGGGAGAGGGGAACAGATGTGGAGGTAACAGCAGCACTCAGTACATTGTGCACACCCTCTAAGCTACTGTGTGCGGCCTCCAACCTGTGCTACAGAGAGCCATAGACACTTGTAACAGGAAAAACTTCGTTCAGAACATGTTTTAGACAGATAAACTGGAGTACTGTAAAAAAAAAAAAAATCAGAAAATACATTGAGAATCAAATGACTGTGCATCCCCCAAAAAGTGGCTTCAACCAACCATTCGTGCATTTGGTCATTCAGTGAGAAGTGAGTATGGACTGAGATCCTGGTAGCTGCCGGGCACTCAGGTAAGGATTGGTTACACAGAGGCAAAAAAAGGAGATGTGTTCTAGATTTCATGACTGAGACAGACTCCTTAGCAGAAGAGCTTTCCTACAAGCGCGCGCGCGCACACATACACACACACACACACACACACACACACAATGAAAGCTGATTCAAAGATCATATAACAAGACTAGTGACAACCTGGATGTAAGTGACTAGAAGTGAAAGCATCTACAGAAAAAAACCTTACTAAGAGCTGCTATTTACAACATGTCCATGTCTATTTTAGGCACTGTCATGGCATCTAACAATTTTCTAATTAAATCTTCAGGATAACCCTGCAGTAGAGATAATATTATCCTTTTTATCCATTAACATAACTGTGGCTCCAAGTGACTACTAAAATAGTTTGCCCAAAATTATATATCAGTGAGTGGCAGAGTTAGGATTCAAACTCAGGGCAAATCTAAAACTAGTATTATTTCTTTGAACGTTACTGATTCAAAAGAAACACCAATAAAGAAACCCATCCCAATTATACTATTTAAATACAATAACAGGCCCCACTACTTGTAAAAGGTACTTGCAAATACATAGTCCTAAAACAATAATTAATTGAATATCTATGCTTATTACTTGCAGGGAAAACACAAGCAAAGCAATAACAAAGATTGATTTCAGAAAGATCTCATTTTCAGTATTTAGACAGAAAAGTAACCATGAAATAAATACACTAATACTATTTTGTGAAAAACTGTTGCACCATCGTAAACTTCACATCTTACCCAGGAAGTCAAAGCTGAAGTGATCGCAAGTCAATGCTAGTGGTGGCTGCACATAGACTGACAATTTGGCTTTCTGCAGAGTCACTCGGCTCTGCAGTGTAACCTACAGAAACACAAAGTGTTATTAATAGAAAATGTATTTATCCAAATTTAAAGACCTTCATAACTACTTAAACATCACTAGAAAATAATGAGAAAAGCCAAGTGTTATGGTTTGTATCTAGATGTCCCCCCAGAGCCTCATGCAGTCACGGGGCAGGCTTTTAGAGTTTTTGATTGACGCATGATCCAATGGGATTAAGGGTATGAGTGCTGGGATTATGGGTATGAGTGCTACACTGGGTATATCAGGGTGGGTAATCTGCATACAATATAAGGGAGGGAAAGATACTTGCTTGCTGCTACTCCTCCCTTTTGCTCTTGTTTTTGCTGTCTTTGGCCACCATGAACTGTTGCCCTCTGCCATGTGCCACTCTGCCTTGGAGCTAGCCAAGTATGGACTGAAATCTCCACAATCTGTGAGCTAAATAAACCTTTCCTTCCTCAATTTTGGGCATCAGGTATTTGTCTCAGCAACAAGAGAAAAGTAACCAAGACACCAAGATAAAATGATGAGCCACAAAACAGAATCCAACTTAAACAGGAGATTAAAATCTTCTACAAATCAGAAAATGGGCAAAGGAGATGAACCGATTTTTCCACAAAAAAGACAAAAAGAGGACCAATGTACAGTGCTATGATAATCCGCATCTTTTATTATTAAGAAAAACAAACCAAATCACAACAATCTACTACCACACATGCACTGAAGCAACTATAATCAAAAGGGCAGACAACAGGTGTCAGCAAAGTGCTGCAAGAGCTGGAGCCATTCTACATTGTTAGTGGGAAAATGAAATGGTACAACCACTGAAGAAAAGTTTGGCAATTTCTTAAAAATCGAAAGATGAATTGACTATACTACCTCACAATTCCATGCCAAGAGAAATGAAAATATATGTCCCCCAAAACTTGAACAAATGCCCATAGCAACATTACTCATGATAGCCAAAGAGGAAAAACAATCCAAATGTCCATCGTGATGAATGGATAAACAAAAGTGACACATCTATATAATAAAATAATATTCACCAAAAAAGACAAAGACATGAAGAATTGAGGCATGCTACAACATATGTGAGCCTTGAAAATATTATGCTAAGTGAAAGAAGCCAGTTACAGAGAATCATATACTATATAATCCTATGAAATGAACCATGTAAACCAGGTAAATCTATAGAAAAATGGATTAGTAGCTGCTTTCAGGTAGGACATATGAGAATGATAGCTAACAGGGATGGTGTATCTTCTACTGGAGACAGAATGTCTTAAAACTAGGTTGTGATGATGATTCCCCAATTCTGCAAATAAACTGAAAGTCCTTACAGTGTGTCTGTTGTGTGTATGTGAATTGCATCTCCATAAAGCTGTTTTAAAAGTTCTGTCAAAAGAAAATGAAACCCTTCCTTCATGGCTACTGAATAACCATATCAAGAAATAAATATGTTCATTCTTTTTTCACACATAGTTACACTGTCATGAAACATTTATCTTATCTACTATCTGTACATTTCCTTTTAAACAAGTTAGTTATTCTCTTATGATTTCCTTACTTAATGGATTTACCCTACTGTAGATATCTATATAAGCACTGCATTTTCTTCCATGGCTTCTCACAAAGATAGATGACATAACCAGTTCTAAAAAATACCAAAAAATAGTGACACTGATGCATTTCTAAGGTAGCTGCATATCCAAACTGCTGCTCCTGCCTAGTGATGCTAAGAAAAGCATCAAAGCACCACAGCAATCACTGCCTAAGTACTCAGGGGTAACAGTTTACCTGGGGAACAGGGTGAGTATGAGCTCAGAAAGCCAGGATTTCTCACTCTCACCAGAGAAACAGCCTCAGCAGAAACCAACAGACCAAAGGTCTTCACTGGGCCACAATGCTACAGTGTTATTTTTAGGTCATCAAAGAAAAGTTTAAAGACCTGACTTGCTGCATGCTCTCCTCTGCAAGTTCCATCCTCTTTCCATATAATCTCTTTGAGATAGTGTGTGACTCAGTTGGTAAAATACACAGCACAATCACCAGTTTGAGTAGGGTCACCAATCCGAGTCAGAATCTCCAAGTCAGACCCAAGTATTGATTTTTTTATAGCAGTATCCCCCAACCCAGTGACTCTTACACCCAGGAGTCACTGGCTGATTAAGAGCCTCTCCTATGTGATACCTTTGCTCTGGAACAGGTCAGGCTACTGGCTAGATTCTGGTACATGAGACTGAGTCATCCTAATACTAACAGATACAATGTAAGAATATTC